AGGAGGTCTGTACAACTAGAATTAAAAGATAGAACATGTCCTATCCTGTAAATCTAGTATTATGCTGTTCGAATTCAAATAGTAGCCTTCACACATTAAGATTTGCTTGTAAATCTAAGTTTTTATTGGTGTTGTACTTCAAAATCCTACCGTCTGTTGAGGCCTCTAAGATTGATACATTTGGAATTAATTGTTTTGCTTTTTCTCCTCCAAACTGCGTTAAGGACCACCTCTGAATAAATGATACCATGTAAGTTAAGGTTACTTTTCGCAAAGTCTCATTGAAGAACCTTCAACTAACGACCTCTTGTCTATAAAGACCATTTTCAGTCCCTCCCTCGGATGAAATTTGTTAAAAGGTTTGACTGTAGGCTTTTAACGCTATCAGCAGCATAAAAAATTCTAAATAGTTTCAATTGCGCCACTTCTTGTTTGTTCAATTATTAGAAAATAGTATAACTAAAACAATCACACTTCTCGAGGCCTCTTCCTGGCATTAAATAGAGAATAGCTTAAAGTTATCAGTAATGACTTAAGTATTGACATACGATTATGATAATTCTCCTTTAAAGTAGTTTTTATTTGAAAAGGTAAAAACTGAAAAGTAGATAATTGCTTAGTTTAACGTAAACCTTGTATTGCTTGTGCTCCCAGTTTTTAACAAAACTAGAAAATTTAATGTTCTTAAATTTCGAAAATTTAGTAATGCATTCCATTTATCAAGAAAAGCGTAATTGTTTGTTATAGATATTGTTGTCATAATAATGACATAATCGTTTTGATTAAAGTATTTTCTAAGCATAATCTAAGCTGATATCAAACCAATGAAATGGACATTTTGCATTGTTTGATTAAAGATATATTAATTCAAAGTGAAATTCATCATAATAAGAAAAATGCCAAACTACTTATTAGATTATTCATCGAAAAAAATTGACTTGACAAGTTTAGAGGAATTATGAAAATGTGTTACAATTCGACAATTCTAAATCAATGTACTATGATGTAATCGTTTAAGTTTGCTTAATTAATCAGAAGTCAACAGTGAGTTGAGAAAAATATTTTAAAGTTTATTAAAAATCTTAAGTAATAAACAAAATATCAATTATCTGTTGCTGAACTTGATAAGATGAGGCTATGTGATTTCTTTTCATTTTCATCTTTTCTAGAAAAAAAAAGATTAAAAAAAAACAAACAAAAAAACAGGGTAGAAATATATATCATATTTTCTTTTCTGCAATTTAAAACTGAAGTTCGGCGTTTTGAAAATGATATGAAATAGTTCAATCTAAATATTATTACTTGTTGTCCAGTTACTTGACCTTAGAGTTGAATATATTTCTATGAAAACACTCGATACATATTCTAATTAACAAGGCATCTGTCCATTAGGGTAGTTTACTTGGAACAAGATGCGCAGAAAGTGGAGAAGGGTATTGTATTTTGTCATATTACCTTTCATTTGTCATGACCTGTTTTTTAGCTATTATCCGGGAAATTGTGAGGAGATTTTTCTCCCATATATCATTATCTTAAATGTGATAGATTTGTTTGAGTTCTCAAGAAATAGTTTAGATATAGCTTCAGACACAGTACAAGGATAAAATGTTCTTCTTCAGTGCAATAAGATTTCAATCTTGTTTAGTTTTCATTTGATACAATTACAACTATTAAATAGAAATCATAACTTTAACCGGCTCTCATTAATAATAATATCAGTAACGTAATCATTTCCAGTAACAGATGCTTGTGTATATAATAATGTTGAAGGACATTTGTTAAAAGTTTTAGTACGGACCTGTCGGATAAGTCGGCTTAGTCCTTTCTAGTGTTGCAACTGTTTGACTTTGAACTCATGTGTATTTTGTAAGGGTGCTTACAATTACATCTACATTATTTCTAGATGTATAATTGTCAATACTTTGATTTAAACGTTTATTATGTCTTAGTATGTTGGCTTATCAGGTTCTTGTTTGATAATAAAATTTAAAGTTGTAAATGTAAAACATCAAATATTATGTTCTTCTTGTTCCACAATTCCTTGTTGTTTCAACATGAACCGTATTTCTTACATTATACATTTTTTTAACATCGTACCCTTAACCCGATTTTCCTCCGAAATTTTATGGAAAAGTCATGAGTTATTCTTCGGAAAACGATATTGGTCATTGATATTTATTTACAAGGAACTTGTGTGTTGTTTATAAGGTCTGTTTCGTTAAGAACAATAGAAAGAAAGTGATGTTCAGCATCTTTACTGGATATATATCAAAGCTGCTATTTATAAAGATTAAACTCTAAATTACCTTTCCTGACGTTCTCGAGTGCGTGCTATGTTTAGATAAATGTAAATCTACCAAAAGAGGCGTAAAAAGCAGCAGAAAAAAGATAATGACTTCTGTTTAAAGAACGTATAAATATTGCGATAATGGAAGCTAAAAAACAATACAATATCATCACATTGTTAGGCAGTTATGAGTAAAAATGTCTTACAAACGACATTTTTTTTATTTGTTTGTAAATAAATATAGTATGTGTGCTTAATGCCTCCACTTATAAAGGTGATGGGTCATTCCGAACTTTCGTACCTCACTTCTCTTCCTTGATTGACGAATGACTTGAACAGACGTGCCCATGATTATTAGGTTAGTAGGTTAAAGTTCACAGTCACTGTGGCCTCAGGTTCTTTTATTTATTGTTGTGGTGAAGCATGACTTTCTGGCCAGTAGATCAAAGTTCAAAGCCACCATGACAATTATACCTTAGCACTTGTAATTCTATTATCATATTTACGCTCAGATATAAAAATAATAATAAGACTTGAGTTTCATAAAATGTGCATAAGCAAATGAAGTGGGGACATACTAGGACATGTAAATAGAGAAAAGCAGAATCCCTTAAGGACGCCAAAAATTACACAAGCGAAAATGTGTCAGGCTCGTTGTGATTTAGCCTGTTCTTGGACTGTACTGAAAATCGCAAGTTACCGTCCGCGCCCCAAAATAGGGGCTTAAAATGAACATAAAAATGGTGAAATTGTGAATTTAGAAACATCCGAAAATGTGTTTATAAGACACATTTCTAGTATTTACCTATAACTTACATCTTACTCTCAGACGGTCTCTAATCCTGACATAACAACGTTCTTTTATGAATACAATGAACTCAGTTAACAAAAATGCGTTTGCTACTACATGGAACAAAACTTTTCGTGTTATTTTTGTTATCATAGTATAAACAGCATTCCTATCTATTGGAATGCGTTTTTCTTGTCTTATCTTGAATTTGAAGGTCGATGTGTTCATATGTTATCATGGAAACACTATTGTTTCGTCAGATTAAAATCAACAAGAGAAAGGTGTGTATTGCAAAAATTTAAAGTTAGTTAATATAAAATATGTATTTGTATTACAAAGTTTTATGCCGAATATGTTTGATTATCTTAATAGTACACACGTTTACAACTATGAAGGAACGAATTTGCATAATGGCTATTGCCTTTCAGATAATCATTGTAAAAAAGTTATTTCATTACATGATATGTCTCACATTTATATGTCAGTTCCTTAATGTTTAACAAATAAATTGAATAAGGTTTTAATTTCTATACAAGTAAATAAATTTCACGAAATCAGAATTTCTGTTGTTTTTTTTTAGCTTTTATATTTCATAGTTTACAAGTGAAAGTATAGGAAATAGTTTGACTGATGTAATAAGTTTCTAAATAAATTTCTTAGCCTTGAAATTTCAGACCAGATCTTTATCTGTTCCACAGCTGATCTTGATGTTTAGGTTTTATTATGATAAGATAAGTGACCGTTGAGTGTATTCCATTATAATTATATACATTCCTTTAAATTTTTGTCTTCCTGGAGACGGTAGAAAACGATGTAAATCCAGCTGCAAATAGAATGAAATTTATATCTCCTATTTTCATCAGGGCATTTTAATCCTCAGATAAAACATTCATAGTTAGGACTACTGTTTTACTATTTAAAAATATCTACTACTTTTCCCACGTGCCCGCGATAAAAAGCAATTATATATTTGCTATGAGGTCAAAACATATACAACATTGCACGAATTTAATTCAAAATCCATAGCTTAACAGAAAATAAAACTGTTAAAATGTCCTGGTAATTGATTTTGCTTATAATATATACATGTAATTAGTTTACCACAAATGTTGTTAAGTATATTAAATTTAAAATGATTTACAGTGTAATGAGATTTAGCAAAAATGGCCGATTAAACTTATAATTAATCTTATTGAAGGAACTTTGTAAGGATGTATTTCTTATAAAGTTTAAAGAAGACTAAAAAAGTGAAATTCTTGTTTCATAAATAAAAACGCTTTAGTATAAATTTCTCTGGTATTCGTTATTTGAAGTTCAACTCGTCTTTCGTCTTTATATACGTTTTACATTTTAATTTTATTTGTGAAGATGCACGTTGTAATCTGCAATAAAGAATTCACTAACGATTTTGTAAGGATTTGCATAGAATTCAAGGATAGATACCTATTCAAGTTATTTATCAAAGCAAAGAATAGTGTTGTATTTTAACTAAGCTAATACCAGATCAGATATATCTATAGAATGCTATTGTATAGTTCATATATCAGTAGAAGTAAGCCCATTTCCAAATCAAATTCCATTATATAAATGTCTTTCTTTAGGATGAAAATATTTCCGTCACTTAGCCAAGCCAATACTTATGTTATATTTTAACCAAGCTTATGCCAGAACAAATATTTATAGTATTGTATTGTATAGTGCATATATCAGAAGAAGCAAGCCCATTTCCAAATTAAATTCAACTATATAGATGGCTTTCTTTAGCACTGATTTTGCATTCTTACTTCAAAAATACGTTTATATAATCCATAATCAGACATTGTTTTTGAAGTTGTTCATACTGTTCTGTTTTGAAAGCAAAATAAATACATCTGTGTAACAATGTTGTTTTGTTATCAGCCGCATGCCAGCTTCTTAGTGTTCTATGAAATATCGATGAGCGGGGAATTCTGCTGGAAAACCATTCTAGATAGACACACAGATTGAAACAGTTCAAGATAAAAAAATCAGTTAATTTTTGACGAAACTAATAGTTTAAAAAAACAAAAAAAAAACCAAAACAACTTAGGGCACGGATAATATGATCAAGTAAAGATAAAGGAATATAGTTATAATTCCAAAGTGACAGGTAAATATGTTTCTTTATACTGAACGCATATCAGTAGAATTTATTCAGTCTATTAACATAAAAAAGTTGAGAGAATTTTAAGACATCTGTATCTTATCTTCAATTTATAACATTTAATGCAATATTTGACTATATTTATACGGCATAAACGCCCATAATTAATATCTTTACAGAGGTAACTGCTTATGCGCATGCTCAATTTCCATTTATGATTTGTCAATATTGTTGTGCATTCATTTTGACGTATTTTGTACTTATTTAACACACACTAGTCAGATATATTTTCACGAAACGAAATTTATTACATTAATTTTTTTATTTTTTTTTTGTATTTTTCAGAATGAAATTCATACAGCACTTTCATATTTTGTAACGCATGTATAAGAATGTTATGTTTCCTATCTATTTTTTATGCTAATACACTATGTACATATACCTATTATTCGTTGATTTATTTTAGGCCTTGAAATATATAAAACAACTTTAAAATGAACAACTATATTTTATGTTAGAATGATAGCCTCTCAAAATAATTCACACATATACTTTATTTCAGCTGGAGGTTTATTATAAATATGAAGAATTGATACTTCCGTTTCACTGAACATATCATTCAGTACTATTGAAAAGTTAATTGGGCACCTGAAAGGTGATACCTACTTTCTCATAAATTGTTACTTTCATAAACTGTTAACCAACACTTCAGGTTTCGAACATTTCTCGTTAAACTGTTGTATTCTGTAGTAAATACACAATAAAATCATTAATTTTGGTATGCTTAAATGTTGCATAAAATGTATTTCTTATCATCACAATAGTGAATTCGCTTAAGTAAGGGAATTCAGACTATTTAAAACTCCATTTAATTTTTGGCATGGCTTCAAACTATTGGCTGTTAACTCTTACAGAAACACACATACATGCACAGATAAGTGAACTTTTTGGCAAATCTATACTATTTCAATGAGATAAAACTGTTGAGATATGACCTTTCATAAATTATCTGTATGCTTACCTGACTTGTATTGATGTTTATGTTTTATAACACTCAATTTGTTTCTGTTTAGTAATAACATATTTTGTTTTTCGTAAATAAATTTCAGCAGTATGATTAAAGACGTACCTTTTTCAAAAATTTATAAATATAATTTCCTCGGATTTATACATGTACATTTCTATATATTAGTCACCCATGTGTTAGAATATTAACCTTAAAATGCATCGATTGTGATATAAACACGACAATTGTAATTATGAAATGTTCTTTTTATTGCAAAATTGTTTGTAGTCAAACTGCAACAATATTATTTTATCGCAACCAGTTTTGCAAGTAATATTGCTAAAATCGTTATAACACTTAAAATTAAGAATTTAGTTTTGATATCAACCAATTAACACCAAATTTATGAAGTGATCGACAAATCAAAGAAAAAGAAAGTCAGAAAGATCCTTTATATATTTACTTATTTTAGAATGGTCAATGAAATTCTCAGATTTTAAAATGACCAATAAAAAATTCTACTTATATGCAATTCTTTCCTGTAAGTTTTTAGGAAGTCATACTGATTTTAGACGGCCTTCGGCCGAAAACAACACTTTTTGCAAGAACTCTAGATGTGGCTAAAGCGAACACTTCCAATTTCTACTTACAATTGTATTTTAGCCATTACTTGTCACTGCACAAAACAAACAATCATTGTCAAAATATAAAAGACAACCGCTGATTTTTTTTCTTGTCGTCATTTCTTCGGGTTTAAGGAGATACCAAACATGTACGCATGCCTGTTTCATTATTTAGGAAAGTTTTGTGTCCGGGTTTTAATGCTTGCCTAAGATTAGCTCGGTAAATAAAAAACTAATGTGCAATGTTATAACTGACGCATTTCAAAGTGCTATTTTAAAGAATAAGAACGTATTACTACGTCTAAAATCAGATAGAACCGTTTTAAATGGTCAACTGCTAGATAAGGGAAGCATGAAAAACAAACCTCCAATATCCAATATTATAATTCATTACAATTACTAAAAATAGAAGATCTAATCTCTTGTGACCTACAGGACGCTTTTAACGCAAAGCATTGCGTCATCAGATATTTAATGCGTAGAGGACTAACACTCTCAATCATCATTGTTTCACGTGCAGAAAAAAATGGTGTTTCCGGAACTCCTTAATATCTAATTTCAGTTCATAAAAGAGTTAGTTTGAAGAAAGAAAACAACCTCTTTTATATTATTCAACTTATTTTAGAGTGGCAAACGATATTCCCTGATTTCAGTCTGGAGTTTTATAATGACCAATTAAAATCCTCTATAATTATGATAATTTCTTCCCATTGAATTCCATAGACAGCTACGACCAACATCTCTTTATGTTACAGACTGGTATCCAAATAAGTAGATTGAGACTGAGATAATTTCTGTATTATGTAAATTCTTAAATCTTTTTCATAATATTCGAAACATAATTACAAACACGTGTGCATTTAAGATATTAGACATCAATTATATAATTAATGATTATAATATACTTACATGGCACAGCAATCTAAGAATTACGATTATAAGTTATGCTCTCTGCTCTCCGTCGAATAACAAATTTATAATAAAGTTCTATTTCACATGAATAAAACTAAATATATACAGTTATAATTCTCGTTTTGTAAATTGACGATATTGTTCCGGGTTTGCAAATAACATGATATATCAGGTAACGTTGTTGAACAACGGTATTATACTTTTTATCAGCTGTGTGCACAGCTTCCTAAAGTACTTTGAAATATCAATACGCGGAAATTCTGCTGGGAATGTATAGTTGGGTTCGCGGATTTATACAAGATAACAAAATTTTGTAAACAAAACGCTCTTAAATAGAGAACAAATTCTGTGATACTATTGTATAAAGAGTTACGCGGAAGATTGAATTAAATCTGCAAGTGACAGGTAATTACATTTTAACTTTATTTCTGTGGACAACAAATCAATGGAATATATTGCATTTTAACCAAAGTATAAGGTATTCATTTCTAAGAAGAGTAAGGGATGTCTGTTTTTTTTTAATTCAGTTTACATATTGAGGAAATTACATATTTTAAGGATGCTTTTTTCTATTAATAGCCACGGTATTTTTTTTCACTAGAGTATATCAAGATTTGGAGATATTAAAATTCAAAATGTTTTACATAAGACAGGTGTTGCATTTGTATTAATTACATAAATTATTCGAAGATAAAGGAACAAAATAATATGTAATTAAACTGACACATGCTTTCGCTTGTGACTGACTTATTGAATAAATAACAATAACAGCAACATCAAAGAGATACATCCCGGTTGAATTTTACTACAATTATGACATAAGCAGAAATTTCCGTGCAATTAAAGTATGAAAAAATTGATTATTGATATAATTCAACACTGTTTAAAAAGGTTATTGTGTGTTACCTTGAAATGTTATTCCGATGACTGAAAAGTGTACAAATATAAAGGTTTTGTTTGGTATAATTTTATAATTCAAATTCATGACTGAACAATATTTAAAAGCGATGTATATTAGACTATTGAAAATCTTCTCTTCAACAAATAATAGCAATAGTTAAAGTTTTAAAGAAAAAAGAACATTGATAGAAAACCGTATCGACTATTGTGTTCTTTATTCTAGATATAACTTAGAAATTTTCGTCCAGCTTGAATGAAGTTCGCATGCATGTAACATTAACTAGAACTTTAATCTTTAAGTTTAAACTATTATAGATTAGGTAGATGAGTACCAAATTTAAGGTGAATTGATTTATGCTGTGGGCCATGTCCTTTTAAAAATGACACTCGCAAAGTGTGTTAATGAGATAATGATGTGTCTGACAGCGCTCTAATTTAACAGCTTCACAACTGAAGAGTTGATATGTTTTCACGATTCAAGATTTTATTCAAAAGGCATAAACAGTTTACAATATTGATCGCTACAAACAAAATGACAGTGATGTAAATGAAGATGTTAATAACCCGAATTACTGTAACATTATTTTTTTATTATATTTACACGCGTGTTTATCTTTCATTTTCTTACTTAATCATGTATTCAATTATTATACTGGATAATCTTATATCAACACATGGATACAGATCATTGCGGTAGACTGCTGTTAGAGAGAGATACAGGACTGACAAACCAGCATAATTATCAAAAAACACAAGAGCGCATTGTGATTATAACCGCTACGTAATTATCTTTCCGGCAAATTTTTATAACATTTCCGACATGATGTACATTAATAATATCAATAAGGCTTTTATCTATAACATTTTAGTATATTATTGATAAAGTATGAGTATACATGTACATATGTGACACAATATATATTGACAACATTCGTTACATATTTGCTTTATCCCATCAATAAATATGTAAAATACTATCAGAACTTGTTCTAAAAGAGACGATCTAATAAAAATTCAAAAAAGTATTGTTTTGCAAAATTAATTTTGCACAACAACGTTTAATCTTTTAAGCCTTTGTCTGGATACTTGGAAACACCAAAATGATAATGTTGACTATCAAGAAATTACATGGATTACCGCTTCATTAACATTTTAAATGGCTACCATTGCACTTCATTTTGTTGAAAAAATGTTATTTTTAGTTTTCGTATAATAACGTTTTTATAAACTAAAGATGTAAGTTTGTTTTTCCTTATTAAGAATCATTGAAGATGGATTTAAAAAGTTTTAACATTGTGATTACGGAAAACATTATTTTTTTTAATGAGAAAAATATGATCGGACAGATAGTAATATAACATATGAACTAGATTTGTTTATGTTTCAGTTAAAATGTGTACAAACTGAGATTTTGATATCTAATATATTGGTATTTAGATTTTTTGTTGGCGGCCTTGACTGTCACTTTTACTTATTATAGTCATGATCCTCCCTTACTAGATTCTGTTATATCAATAGCTTTAATTGATTTTTCTTGTTACTTCCCCTTAATCTTACATGTAGTACTTTATTAAGTGAACAAGTGAAATCATCGATTTATTGAAACATGTGGATATCTACAAAACGTTTTGTGGTAACTAACTACCATTTTATTAGTTTGACTGGAATGTATTCAAGATTTTAATGGTTTATTTTTTTCTCCTCTTCAAAAAATAGAGTAATAGCAGATCGTTTGTGCAGACAGTAATTTTCAACATGTTTTTCTTAATTTATTCTTGTATTAATCTGTGGTAACAATCAGAATAATTCTTAAGGCGCATTGATTGTAACACTCAAAGATGTTTGCCCTACAAAGCATTTAGAGCTTGCTAATCTCGATTTTTTTCTTTCATTTAATTATCGAATCGTCCTTGTTGAGAACCATAATTATCCTGAAAGAAAATTTGTCATCCTGTGCCATGACCTCGAATCTCGATTCTCAAATAACACTAACCAAGGCAAATTGACATTCAAAAGTGTTATTTAATATGGTTGAACTATAGATATTGTGGAATGGAACAAACATTCGTTTCTCTTATCTTAGTATTAGCGTTTCAAATGTAATATTCAAATTGTGAACTATTTGTATAAAAGGGTTTTTGATCGTATATTGTATAAATGAAGACACTATATGATATATGGTTTTATAGATGTAATACTTGCCATTTAATTGAATAAATGTTAAGTACAGTTAAGTTATTGTGAACTAGCACATTTTTAATGGACTGAAGGTATTTGCCCTTTACTTTGATTGTTTTGTTTGCTTATTTCATGGGAAAACTATTCACAATCAAGGAGGCGCAGTCTAAATCATTTTGCCTATTCATAGCCGGCTTCCTTTAAATTCGTTATACATACTTTTCAAGAAAAAAAGAAAGCTTGCGTTCATTGAACGCCGGCTTTCCTTGTTGATATTGTTTATCATATTTTGTTAACTTTATTTCTTACATTTACATATATTTTGCATAATTTGGTCCTTAATCAGTATTTTTAGTATCTCTACTAAATGCATGAAATATCTGTAGTAGAATTTGATAAAAACAACAACAACAAAAAAACACAAATTTAATTAAAGTAAAAATTCTTGTGTTTCAGTAATTTACTAGTGAAACAGATATTTCATAAGCAAACCTAAATAAGCAGGGCAGATAACTTTAAAAAAACAAAAACAGTGGCCATTTTATGTTCTCCTTTTCTTTAAATTATTTTTTAAGATCAACAAACTTTTTAATAAATAAGTCCAATAGTTTTAAGTATGTCTTATGTCAAAATGAAAACTGTAGGAGACGTCCTGAACATAATTATTCGATCTATTAGAACTTAAGATTAACAAAACTTTTATTTATAACGTTTTAATTCTAAAAAAATATAAATGCATTTAGTTATTGCATGTTCTACAATGCATATATTACCAAAAAATAGACTTCGCTTGGCTCCACTGTTTATAACAATCGCAAATAACCCCCGTGTATATCCTTTTCAATATACTTTTATCATCATTTCTACTAACAAAAAGTTTTTACATTGGTATGTTATATAATGATTGTCGATTTCCCTGCATTTAAATACCATTAATTATATTTCATCGATCTTGAATTTCCTATACAATATCTAGATGGTTTCAGTTAGGAGGTCAATATCAAGAAGGAAAGTGGCTGTTTTAAGTTTGTCTTTTGTACGTTATAATTACAAAATCTGCTTATTATATTTTATCATTGTTACTTCAGATTTTCTTTCTAAAGATATATTAAACTCAAATCTTATATTTGTAACTGTATAATGAACATATTGTGAGAAGAAGACGCGTTGCGTTTTAAACACTACGAGCTATAGGTAAACACTGTATGAATACTTGATACTAGGAGTCTTTGTTAAAGAAACTTGACCAGTAATAGGGAATGCAGTTTCTGAAAATACATAAGTGTATTATATAAATTAAATACATTCAGAGAGATTTTCCTAGGTTAAAAATTTCTGAAGTCACAGATGAGCAAAGTATATCTTTAAATATCTATATGTATTTATATCTGTTCAAAATTTTCAATAATTTCACTGACACGATTTTATTCTCATATTATTGACTCATGTTATATTAAGTTCAAGAAGTAACAGCAAAAACTAAACGTAGCTTTGTGCCATGTCAATTTAAATACTGCACATGTCAAATTAATCAGAATGAATTTGTTTTCAAAGGTCACAATTTCTATAAGCATCTTAAAAATTAATAAAAATGAATAAAAATGTTTTATTTGTATATTTTTATGAAACATTATTCGGAAGAAAATATTCTTAGTGATTTGTTTGAACATTTATATGACGAATAATATTTTGTTCTAGAACAAATAATTAGCTACTGTTTTGTAAATATGTAATATCGGATCTAGAAACTCACACTTACCAACAAGAAACATATATATATAATTATATGGATGGTTTGTAAAACCACCATGGATGGTCTGTAAAACCATCTACTAAATGGTAAAATATTTTGTATTTAAATTCAGTAGATATTGATTGATACCATATTTAAGCTTTTATTAATACTTACCAGTGACGCAAAGTAAACAAGTCACATAGAGTGATTATTTCCATATCAAGTTATATTCGCAGATATAGGTTGATTATCGACAACTTTCGTGTGTTTTTTATTACAGGCAGAAATGACACACAAGTGCCTTGTCAACTTAGCAACATATTGTATAATGGCTGCTGTGGTGGTCTCATTTCCAGAAGATGTTTATAAAGAGGATTATCGATGGATACAGGAAGGGGACGTCAATATTGGAGTTATACTTTCCATTCACTCCTCTGATTCGTTATTCAACTGTACAGACAGTATAGAAGACGGTCGAAATGTTCAAAATGTTGAAGCATTGAGTTATGCTGTAAAGGAGATAAACAATGATATTAATATTCTGTCAAATCTTACGCTTGGGTTTGTGGTCCTAGATGATTGTCAATCTCCATCAATAGCACTAGCTCGGGCGATTCAGTTCATGCCACGTGAAATTCGGTACCATTCTGACAAATATATTAATGATGAGATAAACAAAAGTACACAAACTAATTCGGAAAGAACATTTTATGATGTGATAGGGGTAATTGGAACATACACAAGCAAATTGAGTATAGTGATTGCAAATGTACTTAATCTTTTTCACCTTCCTCAAATAAGCCATACGGCAACAAGTGATTTACTCAGTGACAAAACAAGATTTCCTTATTTCTTTCGAATGGTTCCACCAGATCGCTATCAAGTAAAGGCAATTGCAAGTTTGTTAACACATTTTGGATGGAGTCATGTAGCCATAGTTTTTTCAGAGGGTAATTATGGCGGAGCAGGTGTTAAAGAACTTCAAAACACGTTTCAAGCCACGAAGAATGGTGTTTGTATTGAGGATGCTATTGCAATAGCCGACGGATCAACAGACATTGATTTTTATAATACGCTGAAAAGACTTGACTCGCACAAAGACACTCATGTTGTTGTTGCATTTGTTGAAATTGAGCACGCAATATCTATAAGTAAAGCAGTTAAAGCTGCAAACCTTGTTAACAGATTTACATGGGTTGGCACTGATAGTTTGAGTTTGATTCTTGAAGAACATCCAAATCTCTGTGACAATTTACCTGGTTCAATATCAATGCACCCTCACGCGTTTAATGCAAGTACTCGACGATTTACAGATCATCTTAAACATCTTAAGTCTAAGGATTCACATGAAATAAGCCAAAATCCTTGGTTAGCAAACCTACACACTTTCCATAAAAAGTCAATGAACATCAATAATATCAACTCATCATTTTCAGTTCGTAAACCTAAATGTTTCTTCAGACAGAAAGAAGATAGAGTACGCTCTTCATTTGTTGACGCTTTCCTAATTGACAGTGTTTATGCATTAGCATATGCAATAGACAGTGTTGTAAAATCTTACTGCAACCCTTCAAAGATTGGTAAGAAAAGCGTTGCTGAATGTGTATCAAGTAAAGGTATATTTACAGAGTTGAAAAATATTCACTTTAACGGTATACAAGGCGAACTTAAATTTAACAAAGACGGTGATATCATGACGCAATACGAAGTACATCAGTGTTTTGCCAAAAGTTTTGATCGGCCTCCGGAAATTCGATCTGTTGGAATTTGGGATATGGATGGCGAAGAACTTCGAATAAACGATAATGATTTGCTTTGGACGACTTCAAGCCTACCATCTTCTTCTTGTCCAAAGCCTTGTTCAGATACTGTAGGGACAATTTATTATTTTAAGAAACAAACATGTTGTCATGTTTGTGTAACATGTAAACTAAATGAAATAGTTGTTGCCAACGCCACAAGGTGCGATATATGCCCAGAACTCTTTTGGCCTGATAGCAAGACGCGGCAAAAGTGTTTACCGATTCAGCCCGTATACTTCGGTCTGCAAAGTGCCGTGTCAATAAGTCTGTGTGCTTTCGCAATAGCTGGAGCATTGACTTGCTTTTGGATTATTGTTATTCTTGTAAAATACCGGGAAGAACACGTTATCAAATGTTTCAGTATTGAACTGAGTAGTATAATTTTGCTAGGAACATTGTTTACATACGGTCTTGCTGCAAGTTTTCTTTCACGTCCAAATGAATGGAAGTGTTATGTAAATTATGTTGGTTTTAGTCTGACATATACGTTGATATATGCTCCTCTTCTAGTGAAAACAAATAGAATTTACCGGATTTTCAATGCAGGGAGAAGAACCACGAGAAAACCATGCTTTATCAGTACAAGCTCTCAAGTTTTCTTTTCCTTTGCTCTTATCTTCACTCAGGTAATATATTATATATTTTTGTTGACTAGTGATATTTTAAGGTAGTAAATTAACTGCAAAGATGATATTTATTGAGACGTGTATTCATGAACATTTCAAACACACGTTAAAAATATAATATCAAAAGTAAAGACACTTACTTTATCAACAATAATTAATAATTTCTTTCGCTCCATAGTTTTATGATATTATTTACACTGCAAAGCATCATTAACTTTCGCCAAAACTACGTAGGTGTGGACACACACTATTTGTCTCCGTAACTGAATACTGCTCGTCATTACGACAGGGAAAAATATTGACAGAAATGAAATTTCCAATGAATGATGATGAACACAAATAATTTCATGTTGTCTTAACCTTTGTAAGGCTCTTCTTTCTTGCACAATAGTCTTATTTACAAACAGCACAATAAGTCCGATATACTGGACAATTCTGTGTTAATAAATATATATTGTAATCATGTCGTTCCACGAAAGCATTGTATTTACTATACATAAACTTTTCTGTTCTGCGTGCTCATGAGAAAGCATACGAACAATACGCGCGTGAATATTGTTTCATTACAATGAACAATTGTTTATGAGTTGTAGCAATTTTTCAACTGATAACATATAATCCAGATCTAGTTTCTAAATATATGAAATGGTTTCTAAGGGTGCAACAAAACAATGCTAAAAATGTTAAAAAGAACTTAAAGAAAGAGAATTCTAGTCAACTGTGGAAAAGCTGGCATATAATTTGGAGGTTAATTTAAAGGAAACGTATTGGATCTTTTAATTCAGTTATAAATTAAAGATAACGGTAAATACACTAAATGTACCCGAAACGTAATGGTTAATGATTAATATCATGCAGTATGATCATTTGCGAATTGCATTATATCTCTCTAAGCAGATTTATTTATCGTAACAGATTGTTCTAGAAGGGATATCTTTAAAAGTACGAACCTATCTATCTATGTATATGTTTTAAATTCCGGTCTGAATGTCAGTTCTAACCTTTCTGCTTTACTAAATTCAATATGATTGTTTGTGTATGTGACCTTTCCGCTTTAAAGTTATAAACAAAATGTTGTTGAATTTAGTCAAACCTAAATTTAAAAACGTTTTTTTTCTCGGAGATATGTTTCTGTTATTAAGAAAAACAATTAATTTCCACAACATTTGAAACTTTAGATTTAAAACAGAGCAATAACAAACTTGTTATATAATGGATCTATTATTTAAATTAACGGCGAAATAAGAGGTGGAAAAGTGACGATTTTATCTCTAGAATTGTTTACAATAAATTCAGATAACGGGCAAGAGTATAACAATTACAAAACTGTAGACAAATATAAACACGATCAGAGTTGATTTAATTTTTTGTTTTTATTATTTTTAAATATTTGAAATTACAAATAAAACGTATGCATGCTGATTAATCAGATACATATAACTATTTTATTTTAAAGAAAAGAAGGCTGTTGATGACGTTAACTGTTTTAACCAAATAACCTCCACTTTATATACTAGAATATTTTTTTTGTTTTCGCAAATGCGTCATTTATAATGTTTTAAATATGTTTTGTAGGTGCTACAATTTGATTTAAACTTCGATGTTATGTCATTTGTATTACAACGTATATCGTTTATTGGGAAGGTGTAAGCTTATCACGGAATATAACCTGATGGAACAATCGAAATGTTTCTGATTTCAGATGAGAGGAAATCTCAAATATATTTTTTTCATAAGAGACCTTCACTGCAATCACTGATGGAAAGTTATCAAATAATGTTTTCACACAATTGCTTTAAGGAATGTCTATCAACATATGTAAAGGTCATATTGACATAGTTATAGGCCAATCACGCAAACGTTTACTTTGACTTGAAATCTTACAATCTTAAGTTTAAGATAAATGATTAATAGAGCAAGTATGTTGATTGTATGAGAACTGCTTCTGAAAAGTTGTCTGTGTATTTTCATTAATTCATAATGTATTTGTTCTTTCATTTTGTTATTTGTTTTTTAGGTTGCAATAGTCATAATGTCAACAAGTCTAAAACCGCCAGAAGTATCTCTTCATATGCCCAGACGAACGGAGAAATTTGTTGAGCTATTTTATAACCTGCCACATGCCGGACTACTTTCATCATTATCGTACAATCTTATATTGGTCCTTATCTGAACATTTTACGCTTTTAAAACAAGAAAACTACCTGATAATTATAAGGAATCCCGTTATATTGCATTTTGTGTTGATACCACTCTTCTGATATGGATAACATTTGTTCCGACATACTTCACCACGACAAGAGCGGCGGCAAAAACAACAATCGTTGCAGTACCATTATTACTAAATGCGTCCGTCACAATAACTTGTCTTTTTATTCCAAGAATACATGCTTTATATAAGAGCCTAAAAAATTGTTCTACAGCTAAGCACCACTACAAAGACTTTAGAATTGTAAAGCACGTTGTTAAGCGGAAGCATTCCTTCGATATGGAAATAACCGCTCGAGAGACTGTTTCCGGTATAGAAAAGCGGATATCAAATGGATTGACAAGTCATACTGATTTAATGTCACGTGATACCTCAGATAATACTTTGCCAGTTACGAACGGATCACAGCCATTCTTAGAACTGACAGATCTTTCCAAAACGGACGTGATCAGATCTTGTCAAACACTTTTTGACATGCATGTGTTGGAGTCGGAAATTGAAAAACCTTCGTTTCATCTGGCCGAATAACATGAATTGAAAAAGTTCACTTTTTTACTTGTCCATGTACAAGTATTTCATTTCAGCATTCTATTTGAGAGCTCAGTAATAAATCACATAGTGAAACATTGTTAAATATTTAAAAGAAATTGAGATTCTATATTTTTGTATGTAAACAGCATTATCTTTCAACAATTTACGTTTGCTAGAAAAAGGTATTGAAATTATTGTTATCTAAAGTAAATAATAAAAGACTGAATAAATTGATTGATATTTTTCTAGAATACAGAAAATGATACATATATGAAACGTACTTTTTAACCAATTGTGTATCCTAAGAAATATATAAAAAATTCTAATACCGGTTTGACTTTTGCAAAAAAAGGCCCGAGCGTGATAAAAGTGTGATCGACTGATCAACACGACCGATGAAAAATTGTATTGAGTATATGCTTTACCTTTTTAGCAATTGCAGTTTGCTGGTGCGTCATTGAACATTGTATAAACGGACAGGCTGTATAGATATCTTACGAGTGAATGCGCTTTGATTAATATCCAATATTGATTATCTTTTCAGAAGTCTATTATTTGGTCTAAACTATGAATACTTTAATATTATCCATTTTATTTGCCCTTGAGAAAAATATTGACTAGAACTTAAGGTACAATCCTTTATTGTGTGTGAGATATACCGAAACCTTACTCCGTCACTTCGAAATTAAGTGAGGTATGCATATCTTTCCTATCATCATTATCCCAAAGTTAATTAGAAATAAACTTCAGGTAAGATGAATATTTAAGGGGGAATTACTTTGTATTTGAACAATAATTATCCTTAAAAAATGAAGTATTACCAAGCTTATTACTTTATTAAAGAATGCAATCTCTAAAGAACTTGAACGAAAGAAAGATTACAGTCCACATGTAGTATCATGCTACTTCTATCCCTTTTTAAAGGGTATTGCATAGAGAATTTCATTAGCAATGGGAGATAAAGAGCCTGAGGACATGCAGCTGCCTCGATACGATTAGCACATTAAATATATCCGATAATGTGTATACACACGCTCTATGCATATGTCTTTGAGTCAATGAATTAGATTCATATTTTTTTCATTTGCGCATATATGGATTGATTGACAATTATTTTGTCCAAACCACTCATTAAAAGGCTCAACAACACAGAGTTTTCAATTGTCTATTGTTGAGAATACAGATAGTTCAGTTCTGAGTTGAATCCTTCATACAAGGCCTACGATGCTAGGCCAAGCTCTGAAATCATTGGAGGAATAATAACCATATAATAATAAAAAAAATATTTACACAGAACAAACATCAAGTCAAAGATTTCCTTAGTCACTTTTCAAAAAGAATAGCATGAGTCTGAGAAAAAAAGAAAGAAAGAAAAACACAATAACAAGACCTACAAGGAAGTGCGGCGTCCATTCAACGTACCCAACCTATTAATCATTCAGTAAAAAGAAATAAATTATAGAATATAATAAATAAAGCAAATATTAATTATGAAATTAATAAAGAAAAAAATCTCTGGGCAGCTTAGCAGAAAAGGTATTATCTCACAATCTGACTAAAGTTCAGGTCTACTTACGTCATTTCTTGCATATAGCGTAGCGTTAATTAGGAGCGGAATTTAGTCAGATTGTATTATCTCTCTACATCAGATTAAGAAATGAGCCGCGTCACGATAAAACCAACATAATGCGTTTGCGACCAGCATGGATCCAGACCAGCCTGCACATTCGCGCAGTCTGATCAGGATACATGCTGTTCGCTATCAGTTTCTCTACTTGTAATAGAGTTGGAAAGTGAACAGCAAACGCACTATGTTGGTTTTGTTGTGACGCGGCTCAAATAATATTTGTCTCTATATTATACTTTATGTGGTTTGTTTCTGTATCTTCTAATAGTTTACTAATGCACGGAACGCATTTATATTACGTTTTTCAATTTAGCGCATGACTGTGCACGTGGTAAAGCAATAATGCTACTTGAAACCATTGGGGACATGTTAATGTTTTATTTATTGAAAAAAAAATACATTTGAAAGAACACGTTTTTCCTGAAGAATTATTTGATATAATTCATCTTAAATGTGTCTAAATATTAAACTATAAAATGTGAAGATGCCATAAAAAGCACGCTTAGTTATAATTATTTAATACTTTTAGGAAAACATACAATACAATATCGTAAATTCCAAGAAGTAAATTGACTTCTTTAAAATTGGAATAACATAATATAACTTTTATATGCGTTTGACATTAAATTAAAGGCCCATTAACTGCTACTATTTTCATTTCTCAAAACCTTTTTGTTTTTGGTAAAAATAAATGCATATCAAACGTTTACATTAATTGTAATTTAACAAAAACAGTAATAATAAAAGGTTTAAAGTGACATTGTGATCATTTTTTATTGCCAAGTTCAGCTGAATTGACTATAAATTTCGGAACATGGACCGATATAATGTTGATAAACCAACTGTAGATATTAGAAAATGATTACCAACAAATTTGAATCTGCATAAAATATAAAAACCGTCGGACTCTTCATAAATTGAACGTTACAGGTAAATTGCGATTGATATTTGCAGAAATTTAATCGGGATACGCGAGTTATTTCTTGTTCATGTGAAGCAAATTATAAAATTGAAAGAATTTATGGCAAAATGTAAACTTGTTCTGACATTTACCTGTCTACTCACTACTCTTGGATGTGTATGATTAACCTAAGTACACATTTCCTAGCATATGATGTGATTTTTCAACGTTATTTATATTAGATATATTTCCGAATTACAAAAAGTATACGAGATAATAAGTTGCTTGTTTTCGATAAGACTAACACAAAATTTTGCAGTTCTGAAGCTATTGAATACGGTGTTCCGTTAGGGCCGGCGCGGTTTCACGGTGTTGTCCTAAGGGCGAAATCGCGATACCTTGACGCGAAAACACGATGCGATAAAGCGAAAACACGATAAGAGATCGCGAAAACACGATGCGAAAAATATCGCGTTATCGCGCTATTAATATCGTGTTTTCGCTTTTTCGCCCTCGATCTCCCGTCGTGTTTTCACCTTCGCAGTCAGTCGGGCGAAGGCGAAACCGCAAAAACACGATGTTTTTATATCGCAATTTTTCACTTTATTTCTTATTTTGTCAAGCGCTCTGGCATTTTAATTGTTTTCCATCTGTCCAGAATTCTGTTAAGAAAGAAAAAAAATCAAATTCACAAGAACTACAATACGTTAATATCGATTTGACACGTCGCTATATTTACAAAACTGAGTTAGATACGTGTGGATTTTGTTGGGTACCTTTCGAATAAAAAGCATTGCTAGAAAACTAGGTCGTGTGAACGGTTTTTGATCTTTAAACTTACTAGAGAATTGGAGGAAGTTCGAGTTATTTTAGGCAACTGCGTAACCTCTCTATTTATTGAATTTCACCTTGTAGGTAAAAGTAGAGTAAACGTCTGTCATAAAAGGATTGTTGGGAGACAATTGTTCTGGCGTTTGATTTAGTCACAAGTAACAACAAAAATCTATTGACCATTTTGGACCATTTTGAAGCATAGTCTACTAATTATCACTGAAAGTTTCATTGAAATCTGTTAAAAAGTAAGTTTACAATTTCGTTTGTTTGCAACGTATTCGTATGCACAGGACATATTGCGAGTGAAAGTCGTTGACACTACTAGCATTCGGGTGACTATAAGATAGCTGTAAATGAATTAATTAACAATATCTTTATTGCTAGTCTCGTACATTTCCAGCAAAGTTGCCCAAAATACACTGTTCACTGCATTTCCTTGTAAGTTTGCTGAATTTGCTTGTTGCATTATAACATTGCGTATAGTTGTTAGCCGTCACGAAACATCGTATAAATGTTAAAATTTAATAATGTTACACTTTCCTTTGCACATTTGAGTATGTTCATATCATTTTCTTTCTTTTTTCAGACAAATATATTAAAATATCGTGTTTTCGCCTTCAGTAGGTCAGTAAGGTGAAAACGCGAAAACACGATACAAAATCGCGAAAACACGATACGAAAAAAAAATCGCGTTTTTGCGCTATTAATATCGTGTTTTCTCCCTACTGACCGCGAAGGCGAAAACACGATGGGAGATCAAGGGCGAAAACGCGAAACCACGATATCAATAGCTAAAAAACGCGATATTTTTCGCATCGTGTTTTCGCGATCTTGTATCGTGTTTTCGCGTCAATGCATCGTGTTTTCGCGATTTCGCCCTCAGGGCGACAGCGCGAAACCACGATGGACCTAACGGAATTCCGTAATTAAAAGTTCTTTTATTTCTTTTTAACACTGCTATATAAATCCAAATATGAACAATTAAGTTAATTTGTAAACAGATCGTTCTACATGGGGATACATGAAACGCACTGGAAAGTATATGTTTGAAACGTCTGTTAAAGGTTTCGCAACATGTGAGAGGTCTGTTTCTGTCAATTTCTTATGAAATATACTATATAAGTGAATGTTTATGCATCACAAAAATTGCGAATGTCAAAAAGTGGACTCTTTGCGTGCGGAAGTATTTGTAAAAATATGATTTCTTGAAATTGATACTGTTTTTCTGATATAATTAATGTTAAGAACATGCCGTTACTGTAATCGTTCTATTCAGTTTTTCTGTACTTTATTATTTATATAATTGAAAAACATATTGTCATATTTTCAAAACGTTCTTTTGTTATATGATAAACATATAGTGTTATTAACACATATATGGTATGATGAAAACATTTGTGATTTGTTAAGACCAAACTTAAACAAACAAGCAATGGGAAAAATTAATCTCAGCCCCTGAACAGTAAAACTGATCACTTATTTCAGGTAAGTTACAGTATGAAAACGTGTTTTCAAATGATAGAAGAAAGTTTGCCTCAACTGAAATAATTTTTGCTTGATCAAGTATTTTTTTATAAAAAAATCAAATAAGTACTTACAACTTGTAATGAA